CAGAGGAACTAGGTGCTGACGAATATCCAATGTGCTGCACTCATGAAGGTGAGCAGAGGAATGAAGTGTTGAGAAATGTCTCTCTCTTGTACTCTGCATATTTAGGCAGCTTAAGGAAACACATTTCACTTTCACTTTGTGCTTCTCAGAGCACCTCCTACAGAAATCCCCCGAGTCAGGATCTTCAGAAGATGAAGGGGATCGAGGGGCTCTTTTTTGTGCACTTTATGTTAGGGTGACTCTCAAGTGCAGAGAGTGATATTTCATAGTGACAGTCCTGTGAAGAGGGACCCTGTGGTTACTTTCTGAGCAGCTTTCTTACCCTGAAATAGAGGGGGTTCAGGCAAGAGGTTTGTGCTGGACTGGGGCCAGAGGGGGCTTCTCTGGGTCCCATGCTTTGTTCAAGGGAAATTCCTAGATGTGGCCTGGAGATAAGCTGACCCTACCCCAGGAGTACACCAGGCTCCAGTCTTGGAGGTTCAAAGTGAGTACTTGGGCCACTTGTTGTATTATGAGACGGATCTGGGCTGACACTGTTGGCCAGGAGTAGTTCTGGGCTACTGCAGGGCTGGCCAAGCTGTAGAATGGAAGGAGGGGTTGGGGTGAGGACCCCTTATCAGGATCTCTTTGCTCTGTCTGCTCTGGAACACTATTGGTAGCCCCCTGCCACTGCAGCAGTGTGAGGGAGGGGCTGGGCAGCTGATCCACAGCCAACAGTTGTGGCTAGCATGGGCTTGAGCAGCTCGTCAGGAAGCTTCCCTGGCCCTTTGGTACAGTGCTTCAATCTTCACTCCTCAGGGATGGAGGGATGAGGTAAGAGGGAGAGAGCTGCTGATTGTGCTGGTCGGAGGACTGGTATCCCTGCCTGTGCCAGACCCAGGGAATTTTGCTGCTGAGGTGTTGCCACTGCTTCCTGGGAGTACTCCTGCTTGGAGACAGAGGCTGCAGGAAATCCTACCAAAATCCTGCCACAACCTGAGCACTTAAGAGAGCCCTGGGCCTCCACAAAAGAGGCATAGATCTCTGTGCAGGCACTTAATCGGCAGGGAGGTATAGGAGACAGTGTCTGGTTCTCTCTCTGTTCTGAGCCTTCTCTGCCATGCTGCATGCTACCTGGAAAAGCAGGGGGCACAGAGAGGCACAGGGATTCAGAGAAGAAAAGAGATCATTTCTGCTGATAAAGGCAAATCCTGATGGTCTGAAGATTTTAAGCCATTTTTTTTCTTTAAATTTGCTCTGCAGTAGGGGAAGAGCTGGTCTGCCTGCCTGCAACTGGAGAGGAAGATGACATCTAGCAGTTTCTCAGAGTACCCTCTCCTGCCTCTGATTGACAGATTTGGTCTACCTACGTAGAGCAGAGGAACAGTCATGGATCTGTGGACCTCATTGTGAGTAAGAACCAGACTGTTTTGATCACAGTGTACAGTCTGGGAGTGTGTGTAGTTCTATTGGCAAGTTAATGATAGAAGGGTAAGGTAGATGTCATTTGATTAGTAAAAATCTACTGATTCATAATTTCAATGCTGTCGGTGGCATAGCGGAAGGGGATTTGCTGTCCTCTCAGCTCCAGGTCCTCCATTTGGTGGAAAGGTTTATAGAACAATGTCCTTGGAAATGGGTCAAGTTGGGTGTCATTTGAAAGCCCTTTCTCCCATGACCAGCATGGTACCAACCATGACAAACCTAGAACAATTATGTAGATATACAGTCCAGAAAATATTTTTTAAAATTAACTATTTTCATTACACTTTAACACAGGAGTGTCAGGCATGTACCCTCACAAAGTTAAATTGCGGCCCTCGACTGACAGTAGTGTGTTATCAATTAATGATCAGAACATGATATCTGATTCATGTTTTTAAAGTTACAGATTAACAGATTATAAAATGAAAGGGGCCCTTCAAATTGATTTGCAATTACCAGCTAAAAAGAAGTAGTTCTATTGCTTATGAGCTTTGCTTTTATGCCAAAAGAGTTGTAGTAAGGCGTTTACTACTGTTTAAGGTGTCAGCATCCAGCCAGAAATTATTGGAATCCATCTGCAAATGGCATGCACAGTTACATAACATACATTACAAAACAATTAATTACAAACCCAAAGTATTACAAAATCCTTGAGTTTACATTGGTTTTGATCATTTTTAGGCATCAGTCGGAAGACAGAGCATACCGACTAGCAGCTGCATCTTTGGAGAATATCACCATGGAGCACCTGGTTAAACACAATGCTCAGTGGCACCTTACGTACTCTAAGAAGTGTGCCCATAAACTAAATCATGGCAAGGTTGGAGAGGAAGCACATCAAGAATCAGGGAAAAGTTGAAAATCAGGGACAAGTACTAGCTGTGGGCAAGACTCACTGTGACTGAATGCACCTTTGTATTCACACCCTACATATTACTGTAATAATCTTTGTACAAAATGTCTTGGGAAGTATCATTTGAAAACTAATAGCTCACCAGTCAATAATATCATGGTGAACTGTATGCAACAATATTGTGTGTAAAGTTATGAAATCCACCCTGTATAATGATAAAAGCACATGTTCAAACCCACCTAGCACCAGTTAGGGCACAACCAGTCAAGCAGGACTTAAAGGGATGTATGGTTACCGCAATTTGCAAATAAGCTGTAAATAAAGTCCTCAGACAGTGAGAGAGAAAAAGAAGACAAAGAAAAACTGCATCTCAGCACACAGGATAGCACTATATGAGGGGGGCTGAAGTATAACAGTGAAGGGCAAACATCCCAAGATATCTCTCTCCCTGTCCATCTCCCTCCTTGCACCTAAGACGACAAAAGAAACAGCTGTTGGACTTTGTGGGAGAGGTCCTAACCTGAAGATTTTGATCAGGAACATGGTTGGAAGGATATGGTAAGGACTTTACCTGGAATCCAGTGAAGTTTGTTAAGTTAGGAACTAGAAAATGATTTATCTTTATTCTTCATATAATCATTTCTGAGGTTTATGCCTTATTACTTGTACTCATTTAAAATCCTATCTTCTTTTGTTAATAAACTTGTTTGATTGTTTAATCCAATCTAGTGTGTTTAAATTAAATTGCCATTTAAGGTGGCAAGTTGTTGTGTATTGTTCCCTTGGAGGGACAACAGACCTAATATCTCAGGAGAGGGCTGGACAGTACATAACGTACATTCCAGGGGTCACCCTGTAGTAGTGGCTGGTGAGAGCCAAAGTGTGACTAGAGTACGGCTGGCATGCTGCAGTTACTCACAAACACTCAGCAGCATCTGCATGCTGGTGACTGTGAGGGATTCAGGTTGGGAGCTACAGCAGCATGGCATTGCAGGGCACCTCAGGTTACAGGGCAGGTGATGATACAGCTCCTCACTGCTCTAGATAACACGCTGGTATATGCAAAAAGAAAAGGAGGACTTGTGGAACCTTAGAGACTAACAAATTTATTTGAGCATAAGGTTTCGTGAGCTACAGCTCACTTCATCAGATGTTACACTTGACTTATAGTAGGTCCCATGACATGTGTTTCAAGAAGAACACCTGCTTCTTCTATGGCAAGCCAGAAGCCCAAAGGCATCCATTAAGCACAGTTTCAACCCATGAGACAGGAGAGAAACTATATGAGGCAGCCACTCTGAGTGGGAACGTTGCATAAAAGTAAAGTTAAATGGGTGCACTGACCCAAAAGACACTATGCAAATGATATTGTGCATCACCTCAAGTGCAACACCAAGAATGTATGTAATGTGTTTCATCAAAAAGTAAAAGCAACAGAAACAAATACTGTTTTTACCAGTGCAAACTGTGTGACTCAGCCAAATTCATAAATTGCATAAATTTTATCAGAAGGCATTTGATTCAACCTCTAAAGACACTCTCCTCACTCTGAAAGTGCTTGGAATGGCTGAGACAGTCACTGGTGAGGTCATAAATGCACTGGAATCATTCATATGTCAAGTTTACCATTTGAAGACCAACATTACAATACTTGAAGAGTTACATTAGTGGTTGTTTTCCAAGAAAAAGACAAATGACCAACAAGGGGTACATTTCCACCCACTATCAAGAGGGAAAATTATCAAGAAATGGAATGGCTCCAGAATGACTGAATGAATCCAAAACTACCCTCCTCTATAGGGCACACGTATGTCTTGGAGGATGGACTGATCCCACCTGTCTTGTGTGAAATACCATGTTCTCCCAAATCAATTCTTCAGCTAATGAAATGCTTGGGTGCAAAGCTCAGGTGCTCATTTCCCTGAAAACATTTGGCCAACAGCCTGCCCTGTATGGAAATGTATGAATGTGGCCCAGACAACGATCAGGGTGACAATGCATCTAGGAGTGGTGCCCTAGATGGAGAAGATAGGACTTTGATGAATAAATGTTTTGAATCCTACTTCTCAAGGCTAACTTCCCTAGGATTACCAAAGATCAATGTTTTTTTCTGTGTACGCACTGCATCCCTGTGTTATGGTATAATTTAAAAAACATTGATTTTTAAACATTTTCTCAATATGTATTTGTTCTAGGTTTGTTGTGTTTGGTATCATTGTGCTCATGGGAGAAAGGGCTTTCGAATGATACCCAACTCGACCCATTTCTGATGACATTGTATTATCAAAATTTCCTCCAGCCAGAGGACCCGGGGCTGAAAGCCTGGAGGTCAGCAAGTTTCCCATGCCACGTCGCAGATGGTGACAACATTAAAATGATAATTTTGTGGCTTTTTACATATCAAACAACACCTCCCTTACCTCTCTACAATTAACTTGTCCACATAATGAGATTTTACTACCTTCTGCTCCCAGACTAATAGTGTAACATGAAGGCACTATATGCATGCTTTTACTGGGCCACTTTGAACTTGGTCTGTTTTCTTGTTTCAGCCAAACAGTTTGAGGTTCACCTAGTGCTAATTTTAACTTGTCCAGTTTCTTTATCATTAAAATCGTAAAAAGAGAAGTCATGTTAACCCAGCATTGTTAAAATCAAATAAAGTTGTAGTTTACAGGCAAACCTTGGCATGGTAAGTGTGATCTCCGTCTTGGAAATTGATCGTTCCAAATGAGTCAGTGGGACTTGTACGTGTATGCTTTTCGACAGACCATTCTTCATTCTCCCTCTCTCTGGTAGACTGGTAGACAGGTGAACTATACTCTATCCCAGGATGATCTCTAATCAGCCGTCCACAGCAACATCTCAAATTAAAAATAGAGTCATGCATTACATAGATTATCTCAAATACCACTTGTTAAATCTGCAAAGTTGGCATCACACTACATAGCAATCTGCCATCAAATTAAATTTAATCAAATTAAAACAATTAATAGGGACAAAAAGACATGGGATTAAAACACCAACACACTCAGCTATCTCTGGGTCTTGTCTCTTTCTTACACTTTGCAAATGTTTGTATAGCTTGCCACATCCATAAGCTATTAATGAATTAAACTGAAAGTTGAATTTCAGACTTACGATGCACAGCCTTCTGGATTTCTGGATCCCAGTTAAGATAAATAGTGGGATTCTAAAATGGATTATGATGATGATTAATTTATTTGTATTGTGGTTGCACCTAGGAGCTCCAGTCATGGACGAGTAGGACATCACAAGGACAGGGCTGCCCTTTAACTGGATAGAGATTAAGAAGCTTTATGCTATTTTATCTCAACTACTACTTAATTGAATGTAATAAAGTACGTCCACTGAAGTAGAATGTTAATGAGACATTAGCAGAATTGCATTTGGCATAGAAAACCCACAGCAGAAGACACTACTATTCAACAAGTTCCTAGTCTCGCCTTCTAGCTTAGTCTATTAATACACCTGGCATCTTCTCTGGGAACATTTCAGGTTTTAAAATATTCTTGTGATATTCTAAAATTTGCCATGCCCTTAGCAATATTCTCCCTCTGATCCTGTCTATTTCTATAGGGAAAATCTGGCCAGTCTACCAGCATTAAAAGATAGTAGTATTTTTAGTATCCTAAAAATCATGGATGAGCAAATCAATCAGTTAAGAGGACAAACTATTCTGAACTCCAATCCTTTCCCTGAATCAATCCAAAATTTTAAGGATTTAGATTGCTTTCATAAATCTGCACCCAGCGAGCTCCCACCATGTCCCTCAATTTTTACCATCCACCCAAAAGCCCTCCCCCAACCTTTCCTTCTCTGTTGTACCTCAGCAGCTCCCGACATATGCACTCAATGAATTCTTGAGCACCTCTGAAACAACAGACCACATACAACTGAAATCAATAGCTGATCCAAGGTCAACAGTAAAGACTAGACCTGCAAAACCCCACAACGGGATCAAAGTTAAGAGGTTTATGGAAGCCTTCCAGAGAGACAGGGAATCTTGTGAGTGGATCCCTGCGTGGATACAAAATGTGTATCAGCATCCAATCAGCAAACATGGTACGTGGATATCCACAGATTTGTAGGGCTCTACTTGTGAGGAGCTGAACATGGGAAGTTGGGGATACAGAACTGGTTCTCTTGCAAAAGGGAAGGATGGGAGAAGAGAACTGGCAGGGTTTGGAATAGATAGTTCAGACAAGTATCTCAAATTTTTACTACTTATCTGAGCCAAAACCCCAAATCTTTTAAGGTTTGCCTAACACTGTTAAAAGCAGATATAAAAATTATAACAAATGGGGATGGTTTGCTACAGAGAAAAAAATAGCTACAAAAGAGAGGCATAGGCAGTAAACAAAGGAAGCAAGAATAAAAAAATGGAAGATAAAAAATAAGTCTAACCAAGTGAAGGATGAAATAGCAAGAAGAAAGAGCAGATAAGAAAGCAATACAGAACCAAAAAAATTATTTTAAATGATCGCCAACTCTCTTTTGTAAGATTCCAAAAAGACGGGGAAAATTACATCAACAATGTTTAAAATAGCAGTGTCAATCTACACAAAACTTAGGACAGTCATCACCTCCTGTAGATCCTGAGAAATCTGAAATGCAGACTTCCTGGTCTCTCTACCACAAAGAATGACGGCACCATAAGGTTTGAAATAACCATTACATTTTAAGCCTCTCTTTTTACACTGTGACAGACTAGAATACCATCTGAGGGAAATCATGTTTGAAATACTTAATCAGAAACAGGATATTAGTCTTTCCTCACATAATACTCTGATTAAACTAATAATTAAGTCAGGGAAAACAGAGCTGCCACAGAGAGAACCTAAAGCTATCACATCTGAACCCGAGTACATTGTATTCAGCACAGCAAGGTCATTGTTTATGAAGGTACTTTTTGGTACCTAGAGACTTCTTAATTATACATGCATTCAAAACTCTTTGATATAAGCAAATAAGCTTAATTAAATTTGAGCTATTCAGCATCCTACAAATGCAGATTGGAGGAATGAAAACTCACATAAATACTGAAAATAAACTGGTACACACAATGGGGAATTGAAGAGTTGTAGAAATGTAACTACCCTCACTATTGCTTGTGCAATGATGCTTGATTAAAAGTCAGAAGGTAATGAGGACTCAACACTTGAAGAACAAAACATAATGAGACCGCTTAGTAAGCACTCACTTCCAAGACAAACAAGCATTCTGATTCAATATATAACAGTGGAGAGAAGTTTGCGGGGGGAGAGAACTTCTCTGAAACAAGGATATGCCACACAGATCCGAGGGGTTTGTCTTGATTACGCAAAGTGGTTCAGTTTCAGTTGGGCTTAGTTAACATGTGCTAGCTAAATTCAGTTTAAATGTAGCCTTTTTCTGAGTCAGGACAAACCCTGAAGGATTAACAGAAAACACAGACCTGTCAGAAAGAGGCCAGAGACGGACAGGCATACACACACACACAAACACAAAATCTAAGGCAGAGGTGGGTAAACTACGGCCCGTGGGACCGTCCTGCGCCTGCCCACCTCCCAGGCTTTCAAATAAGCCGTCTTGCCGCTTTGAGCGGCATGGTAAGGGGGAGGGCGGGGAGGTCCCTGGGGGCAGTCAAAGGACAGGGGGCGGTTGGATGGGGTGGAGGTTTGGGGGGGGGTCAGGAGACAGGGAGCAGGGGAGGTGGGGTCCTGGGGGGTCCCTGGGGTCCCGGGAAGGGGGGGGGACAGAGAGCGGGGGGTGTTGGACAGGGAGTGGGGTTCTTGGGGGGAAGTTAGGGATGGGGGTCCCAGGAGGGGGCGGTCAGGGGACAAGGAACGGGGTGGGGGGCCCAGGGGACCTGTCAGGGGACAAGGAGACGGGGGGGCGGGTTGGACAGGTCGGAGGTTCTGAGAGGGGCAGTCAGGGGGCGGGAACTGGGAGGGGGAGGATACGGGGTGGGGGCCAGGCTCTTTGGGGAGGCACAGCCTTCTCTACCTGGCCCTCCATACCGTTTTGCAACCCCAACTTGGCCCTCGGGCCAAAAAGTTTGCTCTTAGAGCAGGGGTTGGCAAACTTTTTGGCCCGAGGGCCACACTGGGGTTGCAAAACGGTATGGAGGGCCAGGTAGGGAAGGCTGTGCCTCCCCAAAGAGTCTGGCCCCCACCCCGTATTCCCCCCTCCCACTTCCCGCCTGCTGACTGCCCCCCTCAGAACCCCTGACCCATCCAACCCCGCTCCCTGTCTCCTAACTTCCCTGCCCCCATCTACACCCCCACCCCTGACAGGCCCCTTCAGAACTCCAGACCCATCCAACCCCCTGCTCCTTGCCCCCTGACCCATCCAACCCCCCACACACACACTCCTTGTCCCCTGACCACTCCCTCCCGGAACCACCGTCCCTAACTACCCCCCAGGACCCCACCCCCTATCCAACTCCCCTACCCCGTTCCCTGTTGTATCAACCAGGCAAGGTACTAACAAGCTTCAACAGAACTTTATTTTCAAAGTGGAAACCTCTTTACCAAGCTGCTGCTGCACCCTCTGTAGCTTTCTCCCAGCCTCTCAACTCTTCCCCCCTCCTTCCTGTTTCCTGTCCTTTCAGACTCCCAACAGCCAGTGCTCCCAATTCTAATAATTACAAGCAGCATCTAAACACCACATTCCCTCCTCTCTTAAGAAACTCTTCCAATTAAAATAAACATTGTTGTTCTAACCACAGGAACAAATATGAAACAAGACACTATACTGTTGGCAGAAATATTACACTGAAAACACTGTAGATACTATATAACATAGTCTCTAGTCCAGACAGGTAGTCGTCTGGGTCTGACGGGTCGTCTCTCAAGCCCCAGTTCCAGTGCAATGTCTTGTTGTGTTGGTACTACGGTGAAGTCATCCAATGCAGACTGGGTGTTGGCATAATCTCCTCTTGGTGCATAGGCAGGTGCAACATAAGAAGCATTCCATACCCACCCATCAGAAAGTCGATAGGTGTAAGGCCCCTTCTTCTCTATGATTTTAAGAGGAGCTGTGAATTTATGGTCCCCTTTGCGTAAAATTCCAGGTTTTCATATTCTAATGAAGGAACCACACTCAAACTTTGGTTCCTTAGCACCCCGCTGATTGTCTGTGAAAGCCTTAGACTTTGCTTGGTTCTGTTCAACTGTTTTTCTCACATCATCCTCTTTTGGGGCATCAGGTCATGCCTTTAACAATCCAACAATGTTCAGTTTAGTATTCATCTGTTTCCCTTGCAGTAACTCTGCAGGTGATCTTTGCATTGTGGCATGTCGTGTAGCCCAGTATGCTTGCAAGAAATCAGTAGTGAAGGTTATCCACAATCGCCCTTCCAGTTTAGCCGTTTGCAAACTCTCTTTCAAACTTCTGTTACACCATTCGATTTCCCCATTGGCTTGAGGGTAATGTAGGGATGAGCTTCTGTGTAAAATGTTCCTCTCTACTAGAAAAGTTTCAAACTCCAGGGAAGTAAATGGACTACCATTATCTGAAACCAGTTCTTTGGGGTTATCTCCCTGCTAAAAACTGAAATGAGGAACTTAATTACTGTAGCAGAAGAGATTTGCGATGTAAATGCTACTTCAGGCCATTTACTGAAATAGTCTATTAAAGTGATGGCATAACAGCAGTCAATTGGAGCAGTATCAAAGGGTCCTACAATGTCAGTCGCCACTTTTTCCCATGCAGATTCAGGAAGAGGAACAGGCTGTAATGGAGGGGTACATGTCACTGCTGTTTTATCATGCATTTGGCAAGTGACACAGGATTTTATGAGTACTTCAGTTTGAGAGTCCATCCCTGGCCACCAATACAGATCCCGTAGTCGTTGTTT